TTGATCCCATGACCTAAAGCTACCAATCATTTGAAGATGTAATTTTGTCATTGCAGAGATCAAGTTAGCCCACTGTGTCCTCCAAGGCGACGCCAGCGAGAAAATCATGGTAGATAGTCTTAATGATATGTTCATCTTTTACCTATGCCTTTGCAGCATTCCAACCAAAAACGTTGGGGACCCAAGCTAACATTGAAACGCCCAGTTTAATATTGGAGGGGCCGGGGTCCTAAAAAAGAATACAAATCGACACCTGTGTTATTTCCGTTATGACTCGTACCATTCACCGAATTCCAGAACGATGCAGCCAGGAGCGGCGCCACCATGAGCTGGGGGGAAGGGAGGGGGAGGGAGTGCGGTGGAGGGTCGCTCTCTATCGTTGGATAGGGGAAAAATCTCCTCCATCTCAACGACCTTTTTACAGGACAAATATGTTCTTCGCACAAAAAGTAGCGCGATGCTGCTGGGAGTCCAAAAACCGCTCAGTAATATTTGCCCTATGCTGGTCAAGCGCATTCAATGCCTCCCGCGCCTGGAGATAGCTGGATACGGAGCTGATTGGATCATCAAGTTCTTGCACAGTGGCGCATCCAGAGGGACGAGGGTGCACAAAGGAACGTGCCCCCCCCCCCCCACCCCCGCTAAATTAGGTCCCGAGAGGCCCGAAGGAACCAACGATCAAGAGCCTAATTTCAAGGCCCGACCTCGAATGACCGAAAAGCCGGTCGGAGGTTGTATTCAGGGGCCCGGCCCGCAGGGCCGGACACTCTAATACCAGGCAGAGAGCCCTTTGCACCTATACCATTCCCCCTGAGTCGATAAGGAACTACATGTCGTTTAAACACCAGGACATCAGTTCGACCCAGGGGCAGTGTTCGATGAGGCCTGCAGAGGGGTTCGGGATAAGTCATGGCCGAAGCCAGCGAAACCGACCACCGGAGCCGACGATCAACAGTCCGATTGGAGGGCATGAGGGCCCGAAGGGCTGGCTGTAGCTCACATCAAGGATCCCGGCACCTAGGGGCCGTGATATGAATATCAGTCAGAGCCTCATGCACCGATTGAGGTACCCCCTGAGACAATACGGGCCGCTATGTCGGCTAGAAGCACCAACAATGAACATTGGCTCCGTGTCAGTGTGAACCCTGGGGAGCCATTTCCGAAGCACGGACAGGGCAAGGCCCGCGATTTTCATTGGTCGCGCCCCTACAACAATGCCTACTGTGTCGATCAGAGGCCCACAGTACCTAGCAGGACGTCCTAGGTCAACAAACGGAGCCGGGTCGGCCAGGGGAACACAGGGACGGAGACAGTACCACGAATATCATAGGGCCTCTTTCGTTGATCGGGACCCTCTGGAAAGGAGACATGAGAACTTATGATGATAATTCACAATGAGACGAATGTGTCTGGGCTTGCCCTGTGTCAGTCAGAGCCCTCGATACCGAACGGCTGGCACTTCAACCCAACTCAAGCCATGGGCTCGTTAAACCGAACTGGATTCCCTGCTCCAATTATTGGACCACTTCCGGCGACTCGAGATCTTTTTGCATCATTGAGATTTACTGCGCTGATCCAGGGCCAACTGCGCGAATCAGAGGGCTTTTGGTTAAGGAGGGAACCAATGTGATATGATATATCCCTCTAAAGGCCTCCGGATCAACCAGGAGACCCCCTCTCTGTGTCACCAGAATGACAAGCGGAAGGCGCGCCACACTGGGACGGAATGGCCATTCAGTCCTTTTCCGGTAACAAAAATGTGCCCCCTACTATTCTACTCACAGTACCTCGTGCCCGGAAATGTAAGGGGTCTCATTAGTTTTGAAAACCTAGGTCTAGATGATGTCCAAATGCAAAAGGCCAGCCGATGGTCGCCTGTGACATTCATTTTTTTGGAGTCAAGTAGTGAAAAAAGTAATCAAAAGATTTTGAGCCTGCGCCGTTGCAAATTCAGGAGCAAAGAACGGCAACGGCCGGATTACAGTTTCTGTAAAACCGGACAGCATTGGCCGCTGTTCTTCCTCCTACCCGCTCATATCCACAGTTGACGCTCATATTGCATCGCCAACGTCGCTCGACCTCAACAAGGTCTTTCTCAGTGCCAACCACGTCATCCTGAGCAAACAATAGAGTGATGAAGTGTAATATGGGATAACTGCGTAAGCGGTTTGTGAAAGGCGGCCAGTGGCGGGTGAACGTCCATGTCCCTGCCACACACGCAGGATGTCTGGCTGGACTTTTTCCAAGGATCCTCTTGACTAGATTCCCTGCATCCCTAGATCCTCTTCATGACCTTGATCAGTGACCGCAGGTTTCTTGCCCGCTGTCGACAGCCATCTGATATTCTACACCAGACGCCCAACTCCTGAAATGGTTTATGCTCGAAGCTGTCGCCTAAACAGCCCGATGCAAATTATAAAACCGGTCAGTTCTGCATAGCCATCTGGCCCAATCATCTACCCCACAAACATCTGCAAAGGTATCAGGTAAAGAACTCCATGGACATGCGGCCTGGGGAATCCACATCTCCACAATTGTCGGCCATGACACGCGGTTCCCCTAGCAACCACTTCAGAAAATCGCTGGAGTTTCGATACGCAATGTCCCCAAGCTGCTGATTCAAACCGGGGTCCATTTCTTCCTACCTTTCCGGCGCGATGGCCTCAGGTCTGGCAGCCGATCGTCACCTCAGCCAGGCAACAGACGGTTTTGCCCCATGCATTACGGTGTTGGTCACGCTAATCACACCTCACCGACTCTAGAGACCCCAAGTTGGCGAAGTGTGGATATTTCTGTGCATCAGCACCACCGCCTGCTTTGCCAGCTCGGCGACAGCTGTCGACTTGACCGGGATTGGGGCCGCCGCTGGGTCGGACCTGTAGATCTATAGGTTATGTGAACCTGGCAACCAGTGACGTTCTCGTGGGGGACTAGATTTTCTATTGGATGCGGCGTTTTATCGGCTACATCGCTGGGGTAATGCAGCTTTCCTCAATAATACGACCTTCTGTGAAAAATACATGCGATGCAATCCAAAAACTTACTTAGTGTGTGCTCTAATATCTTGAATGAATTTGCCATTTAAGGGTATAACGAAGGTAAACCAGAGCAATTTAGTAGATATTTCTGTTGTACGCCAAACATTTGAGCAGTGCCAAATTTGATATCTCTACAAAATCCATTGTTGTTGTCGTTGCCTGGATTTCGACCGTTTTAACCTTATTTGACCTGAATGTCACGACCTGGGAATTCGTACTTTGACACAAGTGAGTTCCTCAGTGTTTCCTCCGAGTTTCCTTCAACAAAAGTTGATATTCATAGCTCTCTCAGGCTTTGAGGTCTTAGGAGCGGGAAGGGGGGGAGGGGGCAACCGACCTCCATCCGAGCGCGTCGCATTCAACCGGTCAGCCGGAAGCGTGTTAACACCGAAAGCATGCTACAGCTCAAAGAACGAAGCCATGGTCAGTGTTGTTTCGTTTATCGACCATGTGGAAAATGTATGTGCGCATGCTATATGCCTCGCACACCCAACGCGATACCATGCGCAAGCGGCAGCAGAGAGCGTCCACTTTTTGCACCTCCTATAGGAAAACATAGCAGGCACACAGCAGCTGTCCCCCGTCTCGTGTTTGCCACCTTGAACCGCCCCACTCCGGCAGCCTGTCCCGCTTTCACTCGTGCAACAATGACTGGGGGCAGGAAAGCAAGAACGAACGTGGAAGCCGCTCTATGAATATCAAGTGGCGATGCTACGGTAGAGCGTTGTAAGCTAAAACAGTCCTCGTACTTCTTCGTGAATAAACGAGAGGGCGACAATCGTAATGTACCAATCGGGCGGTTCAGCCCAACCATATTTACTGATACGTTTAGTAGTATAGGCCAGCGATTCTGGATTCCATCCGCAGTAGCTTCTGCAGCGGATATTGTTTTCTGTGGTAGTGCTTTCTTTCTACGCGAACTTCTGCTTCTTTTAGTGCGATAGTCCTAAACAAAGGACGTGCGTTTTATGGGGAAGTTTAATCACCAGAACTTAACCGGCAAATGTGTTACAAAGAAAACACTACAGCCACTTTGCAATAATTGATCGTCGAGCCTCCAATGTGAATAGCACAGGCTTCATCCTTGTTATGATTTGCTTTATCACATAGCCAGCGGCAGTTTATCCAGCCTGTTATCCGGGTATTGCAATTTATGCCTCGTGATGTAAAGAACGTCATCTAGGGGCTAGGGGAGACAATGACAACAGGGTTGCTCGCATTTCACATAGCTACAACTAGGCAAATGCACTTCACGCTAATCACGCCCACATTCCGTTGTAACAACGTCAGAGCTGCTCCTGGCCGTTGATGTTAGGTCCTGGCCGATCAGGTTCGCTCCTGGCTGGTCAAGTTAGTGCTTGGCTGATCAGGTGTCCTCATGCCCGGCTGGACCAGCTCCTGGCCGGTCAGTTGTGCTCCTGGCCGGCCGGGTCAGCTCCTGGCCAGTCAGGTGTGCTTCTGGCCGATCACGTCAGCTCCTGGCCGGTCAGCTTAGGTCCTGGTCGGCCGAGTCAGCTCCTGGCCGGTCAGCTTAGCTCCTGGCCGGCCGGATCAGCTCCTGACCGGCCGGGTGTGCTCCTGGCCGGCCGGGTCCACATCGCAGGCCGGTCGCGACGTGCCCGTCAGGCCGCGTCGTCGGCACGGACAGCAGACGGGGGCCGGGGCCCGGCGGCGGCGCACCAGGCAGCCGCCGAGGCCCGGCCCGACCCTGCGCCGACGGCAGGGACAGCCGCTGCACGCTCAGACAGACGCCGGCCAGATCGACGGCGGCGGTCGGCGGCCGATTGGAGCCCCGTCGGTAGAAAGCCTCCGCGCCGGCGAGCGGTGAGGACCAGCCGGAGTACTTGTGCCGGGGCGGCGCGGACGGCTGCCGGCTCGCCAGCTGTCGACCGGGCGGCCGGCGGCCTCGGACGCGTGCCGTGAAGGCGTGGCTGCCTCCACACGGTCGGCGTGTCGCTCCAGGCGCTCGGTCAACCTCCGGCGGCCGGTGGTGCCGAACTCTGAGGTGTCCTCTGCTGCCGTCCGGATCCGCCGTCGAGGCGGGCCGCACCTGGCCATGCAGGTCGGTGGAGAGCGTCCAGTGCTGCCGCTTCGAACACCCATCGACGACACCAAGCTCCTGAAGAAGGTGTTTTTGCTCGGATGAGTTCTGCACCGGCACCGTGCGCAACGGCGTCAGCTGATATGAATCGCTACGCAGCCTTGGCGGAAGCTGATGAACAGCATTGTCGGGCAGTACCAATCCGACGTAACGACGCGTCAGCGTGCTGTGTGAAGCTGTCTGTTTCGCTGCCTCTGATGCCGCCGCTGCCTCCTCGCTATGTGCCTCTCCCTTCTCTGGCGTGGCACGCGAGATTCCCTCTAACACAGGGATGTATTGGCTTGGCTCTGACAGTAAACGAGCGCCTTCGGATGACTGACTTGGGGTAAAGCTCTCCATGAAGACGGATTGCGCTGTGATTGGCCGTCGGTTAGGTGGCCTTTGCACGATTGGCTCCCTAGGTGCTTGCCTTCGTGTGATTGGTTGCCTGGGATGCGTCTGCGATGTGGATGTATGATCAAAGCATGACTGGCAACATGTGTGCGTTTCGGGCCGTGAAGGTGGTGCACTGGACTCGGCTGTGGCCTGTTTTGATGCCCTGAAAGGCATATTCGAAAATTCGGATGAAGACGAGGACCGTAGAAAAGAGATGCCGAGGGCCCCTGTCTTCCCTGAATAATTTGATACATGATCCACCTGTGGCATAACACGATAATTGCAACCACCCTCCTTTTCACCCACTTGCATGGTCCTGAAATGTTGTGGAAAATTCAGGATTGAATTCATCTCATCTAAAACGGAATGATCGTGAGCACTTGACATCACACACGACTGTTTGATCGTGGGCAGTTGTGAGGGCGTTTTATCTGAATGAGAGGACTCCCCTGTTAATACTCCTGTGAATGGTCTCCGTGTTCTTAGAGTGATTGAGGAAGATTGTTGTGATGGCGAGGCATCTGCGAGGATCGTGCCATTAGCTGAATGTTGCGGGACAGCAGGTCGATCACCTGCTTTTCGTTCTGCTGGTTTTTGCGCGGTTGTCGGTTCTGAGGCACGGTGCCCCAGGGATGTCTGGGAAAAAGCGCGTGAAGTGGTGTTGGCCGACGATGTTTGGCCGCGTGGAGTGGAGGTGGCCGACGGTGTTTGGCCGCGTGAGACGAACGGTATTTGGCCTCCGTCGGCCGTTTCCGCCTTCTTCTTTATCCCCTTGTCGAGGAAATGCTCCGGTGTGATGGTGACACCGCTGCCTCGGTATCCGAGCTTGATGATGACCTCAGCCAAGTCCTGATCCTGCGAACAGAAAATCCAAAGTGCCTGAGAACGAAAGAAAGTATCCCGCCATAGACAAGCAATCGGATTGCACTGTATAACACTATCATGAAACTTGTCGCCAGCGTTTGGCTGACGAATGCTTTGAAGGGTGCCCCCACATTTGTATCGGGTTTTGAACCGAAGTAGCCACCTTGAAAATCATTCGGTGCAGTTCGCAGCCCTGTCGTTCTTAAAACCTAAATCCTTCTATTTTCCCAGCCACACTCCCGCGGAGATAAAAAGCCTGTTTCGTGCAAACGATCTCAAAATCACCCAGGCATCCAGGACACCATAACGCCAGTAAAATCCTGCCACTCTATTAACCATGCGAAGATCAAACCAAGACAAATATAGTATATATAGTCACCTATAGTTATAACTGAGTTTATTTCATCATATCTGATGCTTGCTTTAATATCTTCAAATGCGGAACATATCATTTAAATATTTTGGTCAAAACAACTGACTGCTGACTTATAACTAGAGCTAAATGGCTGGTATTACGCTGATGGTTAAATAACAGACGCGCAAGCAAATATCTGATACCTTTTTGAGTTCTCCGAAGCCAGGCCTGCATGGAAACACATACTACTGCATAATTCTGCTTATTTTTAGTAGATAGACCCATGTATGATTGTACAAAAAGTCTTAAGCTGAAGATGCGGAATCCCAACACACATTTAAAACGTCCAGTGAAACTAGAATTTCTTATCCAACAATCAAAGCCGAAGTCGCATGTGTCGACATACCTGTCACGATACACGAGTTAAATAAATGACGTTGCAGATCGTATATGTCATATGTCAAATAAGCATGCTTCATGCGTGATAAACACAATTTGGCTATGTCGCATAGGTCAGAGCCAGAAGCGCAAAACCCCTTTCCGAAGGAAACGACCTTTTTTTGAATATGCTTTCTCGGACATTAAAACAACGCTTGCTGGAAAAAATACTTGTTGAACACACACGCCTGCTGGAACACATCACATGTAGAAACGTGACACGCCTGAAGTCAATATGCCACATGGTAGCAAACGTTAAACACAAAATTGCGTATTTGCTTTGTACGCTGTTTCAGGAACCAGGAAACAGTAGCACATGACTGTAATGGCGAAGCGTTCACAATTGCTTCGTGTGTAACTCAAGTGATCAACACGACACTGCCTGCTCCCAGTAGCCTGCGTGTCTTTTTCAACCTGTGTACTTTGGCTAAGGGGGGAGGGCACGTGCCCCCTGCGCTACTGGACGAAGCCACACATCTCGCACACCGAGGAGTACACACCGAGGAGACGTTAGCCAAGAAGCTGACAGCAAATACCGATAACGAACATTGCCGGGTCCAAAACTGGTACTCAATGCGAAGGCTTTTTCATTGTGTGCTGTCAGTATATCTTTCCAGGAAAATCATTATGCTGCAGGAAGATCAAGTTGAACACGCCCCACAAAAGCTTTAAGCTGTAGTTTGTTAAAAACGCAGAGAGAGAGCAAGCCGATACTTAACATGCGCTCGGGTGGGTGTCAAATTGACTCCCCCGAATGTTTTTCCGGAATAATTTCCAAACGGCGGGGCGTAGCCGCGCCAAATTATGCATAGCTGTAGAAAATTGAATGGCAAATCGTCGGACATGAGATTTTAGATGCATGTTGTAAGGTCGCTGACCTATGGCAGGTCAAAGTCAGATCATGGTTTCGGCGAAAGCAACTTCTAGGGAATCACTCAATCTGATCTAACAATTGAGTGTTAGACGAAACCATGCAACCCTGAGATACTTTCTTAAGCAACAGAACAATCGAATAAACAAATTACGTTGACCTAAGGTCAGGTATGAAGGTCAGACCAAAGTCAAAACCAACCTGTTGTATTACTCTAGTGCTTGCTGTATGGTGTAGTTCATGGTGCTCATTTCGAATTTATTGACAACAGAAGCCGCATTGTATACGTTCCATGGACTTATCCGAGGTCAGGACATCTCACTGACCTAGAACGACCTAGGTCAACGCTTTGTTTTAGTAACATACTGCCTAGCGTGCTCCTTGTCGGTTATTCAAAAGCAAAACTCAAGGTGGTATTGTATAATTTTGGTCATCAAGTCCTTCAAAAGGTCAAATAAGGTAGCTGAACTTGCATGAGCATGCAACCTATTGCTTAGGACAGTTATCCGCAAGTTCTGGAGACCCCTTGGAAACCAACCCGGAATTTGAATTTTTTGACCTTATTTGTCGTAAAGATCATGACATAGAAACGTTCAAATCTGACCTAAGTGCTTTCAAGTACAGATCAACACACCCTGTGAATTTGGTGTCTCTAGCTCTAGTAGTTCCTGAGATCTCAGGGGGTCAAACTGACCCCCGCCCGACCGAAAGATATCCAACCGGCCACCCGGGCGCGTGTTGGATATCAACACACACGGATACACACATATTATATGCATATATATATATATATATATATATATATATATATATATATACATGCGTGTGTGTGTGTGTGTGTGTGTGTGTGTGTGTGTGTGTGTGTGTGTGTGTGTGTGTGTGTGTGTGTGTGTGTGTGTGTGTGTGTGTGTGTGTGTGTGTGTGTGTGTGTGTGTGTGTGTGTGTGTGTGTGTGTGTGTGTGTGTGTGTGTGTGTGTGTGTGTGTGTGTGTGTGTGTGTGTGTGTGTGTGTGTGTGTGTGTGTGTGTGTGTGTGTGTGTGTGTGTGTGTGTGTGTGTGTGTGTGTGTGTGTGTGTGTGTGTGTGTGTGTGTGTGTGTGTGTGTGTGTTGTGTGTGTGTGTGTGTGTGTGTGTGTGTGTGTGTGTGTGTGTGTGTGTGTGTGTGTGTGTGTGTGTGTGTGTGTGTGTGTGTGTGTGTGTGTGTGTGTGTGTGTGTGTGTGTGTGTGTGTGTGTGTGTGTGTGTGTGTGTGTGTGTGTGTGTGTGTGTGTGTGTGGTGTGTGTGTGTGTGTGTGTGTGTGTGTGTGTGTGTGTGTGTGTGTCATTCATGAATCAGCCGGACCAAAATAATCCGAACAAGTTTTGATGTATATCGCATTTCAGAATTCTGTGCGTGACTTCCGCTCACTATGCGGGCACACAGCAGCCCGAAGTCACAGCCGAGTGTTCCTAGTATGAAATTATTTACAATTTAAGTGCTCCCATGCGCCTGAGCCGTATTCCTATTCTGAGATCGCTGTGTTATATATAGAGGAACTGAACTAGTGATGCATAGTTCACCTCCAAGTAGAAGAGGTCATCGAACGTGACCTGCGCCGACACGTACTCCTCGTAGGTGCTGTAGAGTTCAGTGACGTCGGGTTCTTCGTCAGACGAGCCGGGGTCGGTCAGGTCGTCCGCAAACTGCATCGAACGATCCCAGCAGAGCGACCGCCGCCAGAAACACGAGGCAGCTGCGGCACCGAGGTCAAGTTGAGAGCAGTGCCCGAACCAGGTCGATACGGGGCTCCGCCACTAGGTGGTTTGGGCTCAGGTGAAGTGAACAGTTGTTTGCGAAAATTTTTTCACAGGGGCGGATACAGGATTTCGTCAAGGGGCGAGGCATGCAACATTGTGGAGCCCCCTGCAGTTTGGGGTCCCCTCCAAAAAAATTTATTTCCGTGCATCTTGGTCATCACATTTTCAGACGAGTCGTATTTAACGTGTAAAACATATATATATATATATATATATATATATATATATATATATATATCAATAAACAAATATATATATATATATATATATATATATATATATATAGGTGCTTGTATATGCATGTATAAATTTATTTGTACATTTCTTTCATAAATACGGAAATCCATC